ATCTGGTGCCATTTTGGCACGTAGTACATGGGGAAAGGTGCTGTTCCTTCATAAAGTTGATGAAATCTTTCAGATTCCTGAAGTGTTTTTCTGGATATATACAGTTCCCTCTAGCATCAATGGGAGATGTGTATTTCAGAAAACATTTTGATCACGGTATGAAGAGAGAAGGCTGCTTGGAAATTTGAATGGGACATGTGATAAAATGATAGAAAATGTGATACACCAAAAACCTGAACAGCAGTTGACTCCAAATGTAAGATTTATGTTCCACAGGAGTGACTAAAATAATGCTCACTGACAATATTGTAGGCAGGGGATAGCTCCTCCCTAAAGTGTACATGGTCTGAAGAGTGAGGACAGAGAAAATATGAGAGGATCTTTTATTATCTCAGCCTGGAAGTTAGGATTTGAAATTACTACAGCGATGATCCTTGTAGACTTTTGTATCTATGTGCAATATTGCTGGAGCTTTACTTTGATGCATAAGCCTGTGCATTTATTTTTTCGTTGCAAGGTATTGGTTGGTGTCTGCTCAGAGATACAGATAGAGTTAGCTCCCAGCTCTGCTGCAGGGCTCAGATATCACAGCTTTTCAGACCAGCATCTTCACTGCAGAATCTTGTACTATCAGTATGAGGTTTACTATGGATGTCTTGCAGCCATTTGTGAATGCTGTTTATTCTTAATGCAGACTGAAATTAGTGGCCCATTATAAATGGACAATCCTTATTTATTCCAAAATAGGAAAGAAGAAGGTTTCCAAGTGGGTAGTTTTGGGTTCTGCATATGAACAATGTCGAGAAGTATCTTCCCTTCACCTCCCGCTGTTGCACTATACTATGCTCTTTCTTTGCTGTTGGTTTTATTTTAGCATTAGTATAAATTCACTGGAAAAAATACAACACCCGCTTTCTTTGTTTTAATAATATCTATCCTTTGCAATACTTCCCTGGATATGCTGGGAGCAGTCAGCACTGCAGCACCTAGGACGTATATTGCCTGTAGTGCTGGATTAGACTAGTCACAGTTAATCAGATGGTTTACTCATTGTTGATTTCTTTACTTTTTAAAGCCTCCTCTGACTGACTCTTCGTCCTTTCAACAACTTCTGCTTTCATTGACACTAAGACTATCATTGCTTTTCACTCCAGGACTGGTTTATGCACTTAGTTCTTTCAGCTGGAGTTTTTAAATTAGCAAGGTACTTTTTTTAGTGATGAAGCTTTGGAGTGCTTGACCCTTTCTAAATAAATGTTTCGCTGATCTCTGATGTTGTACTTTTATCTTTACAACAGATGGATTTCAGAGGAGTACAGATGTAATGTCAGCTCTGCTTTTATCCTATGAATGAAATAGACAATTTTTTTCTAAAAATCTGTAGAAAAGGTAGTGCATTATAATTTTTTTTCAGACTTATGTTGACAGGCTATTTATTGTTACCTATACTCCTGTTTATAATCCTATTTACTTTTGCTTTCACTTAAAAGTTAACTTTAGTTAGCTGTAGTTAACTTTTACTGCAATTTTTCTCCGCTTTGCTGTCAAAGAAATGCAGAATTGTTAACATAGATAAAGTGCAGCCTACTCCTCTGTATGCTTTTCCAGCACACAATGGTATGAGAGGGTGTAACCTCCAATCACAGTTTGCTGATCAGTCTCCTGGAGCATGTATCGACACAACAACAGCAGCTATTACATGGTAGGATAGAGGACTTCTCTTTCCCCTGTTTCAGCTCCACTTGACTAATAGATGTGGGATTAGATGTACACACCACCTTTGTCCCCATTGAGTACTTTGGTTGGTTTTAATCTTCTGCAGCTTTTCTGTGGTGGGAGAATTAAGAGCTTTGAGCTGAAGCTGAATATTGTGTAGGGATGCCTCACTTGCACATTTTCTTAAGGCTCTGAATATCACTTACTGTTTCTCTGTATTGTGTTAAGGCCCATTTGTTTCTGTGCAAGTCAGTCTCATTATGATAGAAGCTGGAGAAGGTGAAGTTTATTTTACCCTAAATACTTTTTTTTTTTTTTTTTTTGCATTCTGTTGTCTTACATAGCATAATATGTTGGGTAGATCTGAAATGGTGTGTCTGCCGTGCATATTAATGTGGAGTACATAGAGAAGCACAGTATGCTTACTTAGTATGAAGTTTATTTATTCTTTTATTTCACCTGTTCTCTTTCTTATTTAGCTACTGTTATTAATACTACTTTATGTCTAACATTCAGATGTTACGATGGGTATTAATCAGAGGCTTGTAAGTAATTCAAATAAAACAGTTTAACATTTAAGCGGAGTCTCCATCTCATTGGAGGTAGATTGCAACTCTCCTAATGAAACCAGTGGAGCTGTGGTTGTGAATGGTCACATGAACAAGAGCTGCAGATCAGTTTGCAGGACAGTTGATTCTCTTTTTTCCTTAAAAAACCCTCTTCTTGCTAAAAGTAATCTAGTATTAATACAGTTATCAAATTCTAGCCAAGTTTCTTAACAGTACTTAAAACATAATAATCTGAGTTGTGTTTTTAATTTTATCACAGTTGTTTCCTCTGCCTCTGATTTACGTTGGAAACCACATAAGTGGATTATCAAGTACCAGCAAACTCAGGTACAGTAAATGGAAGATACAAGTAAACTGTTCGGATTTTACCCTTTTCTTTTGCAAGGGGTAAAAATCCTGTAAAAGTTGGATTCATGGGTTCTCCTTTCCCATTTCCTCACTATATTTGTAAAATAAAAGAGTTTAGTAGGTTATTTTAATCATAAGTGTAACGTATCCTCCTCCTATGGCTGACATATTTTAGATTTACTTTCGTAACTAATTTTTATAACAGAAAAATAAGAATGGCTGCAGTGTTTCTACCATTATCACTTTGTTAAATTATGTGACATTTGTTTATATTTTAGAATTTTTCATCTTGTTTGAGTTGTCTCTAAAGTGTAGATAATCCTGTCCATAACTTCAAAATGTCTGTTGGAAAGTGGTTATACTCCATGTTAGGATTTGTATCACTTATTAATGCAGTTGCTAAAAGTTATCTTGAACAGGGCATTAATTGGTCCATATGGCCATGCTGTCAGATTTCCAAAGTATTATATGCAAGTGTTTTCTCAAATTTTGAAAAATTTCCAGTGACTTTGTGTAGAACAACAGTATGTTGTTCAAAAGTAGCTGTTTAGTGGTGCTCGCAGCTGATCCCACCTTTCCTACTGTATCTGATTTTTTTTCTTGTGGATTTATTTTACTTTTTTTGAAGCGCAGTTTGTTTGCTAAGCATGTTTTCTTTGTATTTTATTTCTGTTACATGTTTTCAAAAGCAGGTTTATTGTGTGTCCTTTACGTTTACAACATAAATAATTTTTACTTACTCTGCTCAGGAATTATTTCATAGGGGCTGTGCTAGGTAGAAAATAGCTTCTATGTTCCATTTCACTGATGCCGAGGGACCTTTTAGGAGGTAGTCAGTTGCACTGTTTTACAAACTGGCATATCTTGTTATTTCATATATTCAGTTATGTAATCCGACTCTAGTGTCAGACTGACATTTTCTTATATAAGCTAAGTGTCTGGAAATTTGTTTTGGTTGCTTATTGCTAAACTAGTGGTTGTATCCTCTGGTTATTAAACTTAAATAAGAATTAGAACATAAACATGCTGTTAATTTGATGCTATGCTTGAATTTTTATGTGTTTTTTTTGACAGTTTGCCGATGTTTACTGTGCTCAGGAAGTTTACCATTCCACTTACTTTACTGCTGGAAATCATCATACTTGGGTGATCTTTTTTTTTTTTTTTTATAGTTTAAGATACCTTTATTTTAGATCATATAAATGGATTACTAGTGGCATCTCATCAGAATATTAATTTTTACTGACAACTAGAGAAAAGCAAAGAAAAGAGCGTGACCAGCAGGGCAAAGGAGGTGATCCTGCCCTTTTGCTCTGCTCTCGTGAGACCTCACCTGGAGTATTGTGTGCAGTTCTGGTGTCCTCAACATAAAAAGGACATGGATCTGTTGGAACAAGTCCAGAGGAGGGCCACGAGGGTGATCAGGGGACTGGAGCACCTCCCATATGAAGATCTGCTGAGAAAGTTGGGGCTGTCCAGCCTGGAGAAGAGAAGGCTGCGTGGAGGCCTCATAGCAGCCTTCCAGTATCTGAAGGGGGCCTATAGGGATGCTGGGGAGGGACTCTTCATTAGGGACTGTAGTGACAGGACAAGGGGTAACGGGTTAAAACTTAAATAGGGGAAGTTTAGATTAGATATAAGGAGGAAATTCTTTCCTGCTAGGGTGGTGAGGCAGTGGAATGGGTTGCCCAGGGAGGTTGTGAATGCTCCATCTCTGGCAGTGTTCACGGCCAGGTTGGACGAGGCCTTGGGTGATATGGTTTAGAGTGAGGTGTCCCTGCCCATGGCAGGGGGGTTGGAGCTTGATGATCTTAAGGTCCTTTCCAACCCTAACTATTCTATGATTCTAAGTGGATTTATGTAGCTTTTTTGAAGATGCAGATATATGCATTTTAATGAATACAGGGGGAAAAGGCAGCATCATTTACATAGCTTATTCTCTTGACTGTTATGCAGGAATCAGGTAAGCAGAGCACAACTCAGACATTATTTTTAATGAGAAATTAAGAAGTATATGGTATTGCAGCTTGGGATCACTAGTTTCAGTTGTACTGACTTGAAAGAACAGGAATATAAATATGTCAGCTGAAGCTGAACGCAGGCAACATGAGAATGACAATCAGGGGAAAAGATTTTCAAAAAGCCCCAGGTAGACTGTCATCTCCTTTTGACTGAAGCAACAGTTGATCAATGTGATGCATATTTGGCGATGTTCTGGGATTCTTTTCTAGTTGCAAGTTCTTACAGGAAAAGCAGAACTTCTCTTGTTGGCCTAAAGACTCACATGAGGAACTGAGAAAAATGTGAGTCAGTGAGGTTGTCATCAGCTCCCAGCTGGACTACAGCAATGTGGTGTATGAGTACAAGTACATCCTAGCCTAAATGAAGCTTAAGAGCAGAACACTATATTCTCTATTCTAACAGGCTGCCGCAGTGTATTTCTTCAGAGCTGAAAATGAAAGGACTCCAAAGAGTCCGTGCTGGATTACCTCAGGATTTGAAAAGCAGTCAAGATTTGGGTTGTTACTGTCAAGAGCCACTACGATCAAAGCCTAAGATATCTAGAGACACCATATAGCTTTGTTGTTGGACAGTGGTCCACAGTTAGGCTGATTTGACACAGGACTTCTGCAAGAGCATTGTACATTTTGTTTTGATAGGTCTTTTCTCACAGGCCACCTCAGAGCTGGGGGTAGCAAAGGCAAATGTCTGTAAGGCACACTGCAGTATTAAGACATTTCTAAATAAAGTTGTAGAGTTATAAGAAGGAAAATAGTTATTTGTTATGCTTTTTCCTACCCTGTGGCAGTGCCGCTGTATACATAGTGAAGAATGTCACAAGCTTCTGTGCTTTCCCCTTCAAGTGCAAGGTTTCAGTTTGATTTCTAAACAAGTATCTATTTGAAAAATAGCCCAGACAGTATGCTGTACAGCACCTTCCCCAAGAAAGGTGAGATGAAAACCTGCATGAGAGATGTGTCGTGATTTTCCATTATTGGATTCTGGAAAGACACTGTAGTATGTCCATTATGAATACAAATACACAGTAAATTACAGTTTGTTCCAGGGTTGTTACTTTAAACCTTTAATCTTTACTTTTGAAATTATCTAGCAGCAGAATGCTCACAATGTTTTTTCAATCTCTGTTCTAAGGGCCAAAGTCTGACAGCATGGCTCATGGTCAATCACATTGCTTCTGTAAGGTTATCATGACTGTGCCCTTGTGTAAAATGCTCTCTGATTACTAATTGCTTTGAAACTTTTCAGGCAGCCAGCCATTTAATCTCCTTTTCAAATAATGGAACTGTGAACTGTCTTAATTTTTGTCTGCAGGAAACGATATCCACTGAGCATTGTAGTCAGCGTATTTGCCATAATTCTTGGAGCTTTCATAGCAGCTGGGTAAGGTTTCTATTTGTTATATGAGGTCCTGTTATGAGAGGAGAGAAAACAGGAGGATTTTTTTCTGTGCCAAGTAAACTTAAATTAAGATCAATTACTCTGGATTAAGCTAGTTTCAAAAATCTCTCTACTGACGTCATTTGGAAGTGCAGGAATAAAAAGGGGAAAATTTGATTCCAGCTGGAAGTATTTGGGTCTTCTTTTTTCCCCCTCTAGGTTTTCCCTTTTTACAGGATCACAAATGAAACAAGTTAAAACTGTGTGAGGAATGCTGCTTTTATTTCCTAGTATCAATGTATTGTAATAATCTTAGAAAAATGTACTTTTGCTCTGGACAGAAAGCCTGATATTATTTTTTTTCATTGTTGTTATCAAATATTGTTTTGAGTTAAGCAATGTCTTTTTTTTTTATTTATTTATTTTAGATAAAGTTCACAAAGCACTGGTATGCCAGTCTCCTTTGTTTTCTTTCTGTGAATATTCCTTTACTGAGCTGGAAATGTAGTGTTATTTTTTGCTTCTGGGCTTTGCTGTGTACAAATGTTCTAATTTCCATTTGACATGACTCAGATGGGAGCCATGTCTTATTAAATTAATATCCCTATATCCATGAGGTGACTAGTCAAAACAGAAAGGATGACAGTACGTCTGGGCTACCTGTAAAACAAGTAGTTTTTCCCTAGCGACTTCTTGTGTTAAAAGAAATAGGTAAGTATGCTCAGTAATAATTGGAGAAGTTGTCAGGATTGAAGCAGATGGAATTTTTCATAGAATGAAAACTGTACATTTCCTAACACTTCCACACTGAGTACTGGAAACTGATGACTCATTTATGATGGTCCTGTGACTGAAGAAATGTAAAGTACTTTGACTTACAGACTTACAACTTGTGACTTGCTACAGCTGTCAGGATTTGCGTTTCCTCATTTATGATAGCTTTTTAAGTAAACAAATAATTGCAATGCATTGTATACTCTTTGCTTATTTACAATATAATATTTCTTTCCCAGGTCTGATCTGTCTTTTAATCTGGAGGGTTACACCTTTGTATTGCTGAATGATATCTTTACAGCAGCAAATGGAGTTTACACAAAGCAGAAAATTGATCCAAAGGTAACTGTGGTGATTAGGTTGAGTTTAATATTATGACAGTATTGTTAGAGTGGGTTGCATATGATATGACTATGAACATACAGTTAGGAGCTAATAATTAGTTTCGTTTGCTTTCATATTTCAGTTGATAGATGCATGCTTAATAAACTTGATTTACTTGATTAGTAAACTTGATCTGTACTTCTAAGGAAGATGACTTTTTTAATAGAAACACACATTTAGTGAGGTTTATGTAAAATAATCTTCTGGGTAGGAGCAGTGACCTGTCCAGTTTAAGTCAATAACAGCAAAACTTGCTATCTTTTTTAGCTATTTAATAGCAAGTGTACCAAACCCAAATATTAGAAAGAATTAGGTGATACCTCGATACATTACATAAACATTGAGCAGGCTGCTCTTCAAATACAATGCCATTAAAATGTACCAAGACATAGCAAACAGCAGTCCTGGAGATGTGGGATAAAGGTTTTGTCACCGACCTTTGTGGTTCAGTCTGTGAAAATATATATCTCAGGAGTCACATATAGTCCAGATGCCGCTGTTTCTTTGTGAGCAGCACTTAACAGCCCTACAGCTTTCTGCAGAATACAGGGTTTCTTTGTCAAGCAAGAGAGAAGCTGGAGGGATTTGCTAACTAGCATGGCTGAATCTGGAGGAAGGAAAGGCTGCTTTTTCATTCCCCTAATCATCTGCCTGGCAAGTTAACCAACAGGATGTGTGGCATGCCCCAAGTTACTTGAAGGTACATCAGTTACCAGTGACAGCAGATGCTCCATCTAGGAGTCAGACTTCTTTAATTTTTGTTATGCTTGCATAGGGAGCCACCCAGCCCTAGGCTTTTGTGGTTGATTTGCAGTAGATGGTGTGGGTAATCCCTTGGCCATGCAGAGACTTACATGGAGTCTAACACAAAGCAGTTCTGGACCAGTGCCTTAGGAACTTCCTAACTATCTGGTGTTGTAGAAGCTGTCCAGGGTATAGCAGAGCAGTAATACTCTCCTGAGCATACAGACAAAGTGACTGAAATGGAGACCCAGCTCAGTACTAAACACTGAATCCAAGGGTCACAAACTTGTATTTTAAATTGAAATGTACTATGTTTTATCTGCTCATTAACAATAGATTACCAGAGTAATATTTAGTTTTGTTCCCAATTGGCTTGTAATTGTAAACACCATGTTTCATTTTCCACAGGAGTTGGGGAAATATGGTGTCCTTTTCTATAATGCTTGTTTCATGGTGATTCCAACAGTTATTATTAGCTTTTCTACTGGAGACTTTCAGCAGGTAAGGAGCAATGCTGCATATCTCAGACTAACGGTATTTTGTTCAAGGTGATTTTTTGGTGTTTTTGTTTGTTTGTTTTCAAAAGGAGGGGGAGGTTGGTAGCAATTTTTGTTTGTTTTTAAAGAGGTAATCCTACCTCCATATTAGGGACTAGTGTTTGAAATATGTGACTTTGGCTTGCCCTTTATAGGTAAGAACTTTTAGTTATTCACTCTAAGGAGAAGCTGCATTTGTGTGATAGCTCTTGCCATGTGTGATTTGCCACATGCTACAAAATAAGATTGCAAATACCAAAACCAAACAATTTCCAGTCTGTTATTCTGATGCAGAGAACACATTCCTGTTTAGTCTCAGTCTAGTTTAGTAACCTATACATAGCATTCTTATGGAATGACAGTGTGACTCTCCATAGCTAATAACACAGTATAACACCTTAGGCAGAATAAAGTATCAGACCAAGAGGTTTGTGGTTTTTTTGGCTCCCTCACAGACTTACTGGGCTGACTTATTCTTACCAGTAAAATGAGTATTACTTATATTACTTTTCGGAAATGGTTGAGATTCGCCAATAAAAATTGTTACAGAGCTTGAGGGTCTCATAAATCATTGCAGTGTCTTGTGTTGTGCCCTGAATTCACATGATTTTGTTGTTGTGTTCTTAGAAGTCTGTTTTATATGGAAAAATTGTCATTCCCTGAAAATGATGGATTTAGATCTGCTCTGAATATGAAATCTCTTCTTGTGATGTCAGTCCAGCATGGCCTTTTGCCAGTTTAGGAAAATGCAGCTGATGTCTTTCTTGGCAGATGTATTGGGGTCCAAGTTTGACTGTAAGGTTTCCACTGCTTTCCCAGCAGTCAGGCTGGAGGCATTTTGGGAGAACCGGACAAAGAAGTTTACCTTGCTGCTAGGTTTATTCCATGGGAAAAATAAGGAGTTGTTGATTTGGCACAAACAATTTAATCTTCAATTACCTGAAAAGAATAAACAAATGTCAGATAAATGCATGTTGCCTATTGCACATATGCATTGGCTTGCTCACTTAATATTAAAAGTGCCACTAAATGATATGGATAACTAGTGTCTGTGTGATGCAAAGAGATTAAATCCCTGAAAAAAGGGAGAAAATGGAAAAATACTGGTGAAAAATCAACAAATCATTGCAGATAACATCTGTATTCAGCAGATTTTCAGGCCATAGAAGTTGGTTTGCTTTTACCCTAGCAGAGCCTTTTACCTTGGTCTATCACAGACAATGCACAGTCAAAATATCAGTATCATGTCTATGGGATAGGGAGATTGCTTCTGCTCCTCTAGCTAGTTCTGGAATAGTAGATACTTTGTCTTTAGAGACTGCAGTTTGTGAGTGTCCCAGTATTCACTTTTCCTCCTGGATGACTAGTAATACAGGAAAGCATGATGCAATGGAAGAGAAAGGAGGTCCTGGAATGTCTCTCTGTAATACTTTGCAGTTTGTTGTTGCACACCACAGCACAATTCAAGCAGGGCAAAGCTGCCCAAGATCCCTCCAACCTATTACCTCAGGTGGTGGAGGCTCAGCTAGTCACAGCTCAGGATGGACTAACAGGCCTTTATCCTGTTTCTAAGGAATGTGTTCAGCATTTGATGAAGTTTGTGCTGATACAAGGGACTTGAAACTAATTGGATTAAAATAAGGCATACCCTGGAGTTTCTAGAGATGAGAAAGAATCTATGACATATTTCTTAATGATTGTTGTGTGGCACTGTGTGTTTGCTGTGTGTCACTAAGAAGCAGACTTAATAGAAATACAGCATCATAGAATAGTTAGGGTTGGAAAGGACCTTAAGATCATCTAGTTCTAAAGTGATGTTTTGGTCTTTTCACTGAACTTCATTGCTGAGAGACCTTAGCAGTGCTTATTTATTCTAGTTTAGAGGTCAAAAATGAAGGCTTGGACCTTGAAAGCTGACTGGCTAAGAAAGCTGGGGCTTTCTGGAGACTAGACGGCTGCATGGAGACCTCATAGCAAACTTCCAGTATCTGACATATCTGCAAGGATGCTGGAGAGGGACTCTTCATCAAGGACTGTAGCAGTAAGACAAGGGATAATGGGTTCAAACTTAAACAGGGAAGTTCAGATTAGATATAAGGAAGTGAGGGTGGTTAGGTGCTAGAATTGTTTGCCCAAAGAAGTGGTGAATGCTCCATATCTGGCAGTGTTCAAGGCCAGGCTGGACAGAGCCTTGGATGACGTGGTCTAGTGTCCTTTCCAACCCCAACTATTCTGTGATTCTAAGAGTCTATGAAAGACATTTCAAGGAGCTTATTTATTTATCTGTTTTTTCTCCCTGTGTCATTTCAACACTATTTATTATACAATATTAATAATTGTTGTTAACTATCAATAAATATAAAACCACAAATTCTCTGTATTGTATTTTTATTTATCGCTTGCAGTGTGCAATTATATATCTGCACTGCTATACATGACACAGGAGTGTGTCTAGGCATCATGTGTGCCATCATCCTGTTTCTGAATTTAAATTCCTTAAACTGTTTTCAGTAGTATATGAATGTTTTGTAATTATAATATGAATCAAATGCATTTTGTGATTGTGTACATTTTCATATTAACTACATTTTATATCTATTTTCAGTTGATTATATAGTACATAATTCTCTCTGTTTTTTTTTTTTTTTTTTTTTTTTTTTTTAATAGGCAACACATTTCCAGCACTGGACAAATCTTTTGTTTGTCTTTCAATTTATTCTTTCCTGCTTTTTGGGGTAAGAACACAATCAAGTAAGGTGTTTTAGTGACAGTGTTTCAAATTGCAGATCTCAAATGTAAGACTCACCAGTAAGTTATGTTAAAATTTAAAGAAAATTTATTCCCCCTCCGGGCTTCTGTCTTGTCTTTTAGTTATTTCTAAAAATGTAAATAACAGTATCACTACTCTCTGTGGTGTTGACATCACAGTACAGTGATCAAAATCACAACATTCAGCTTTTCATTTTCTGTACTCAGGATCTCTGCTGGCTGTCTCTTCTGATTTACTACGTTGCAGTTAATAGAATGCAAGCCCTTTAGTGTATAGGAACTGTTGCAGTGTGTTCTTTAAAGTACCTGGAAAAGCAAGGGAGACTCAAAAGTAATGAAACAATGCTTTGTTCCTTTTGGAACTGCTGAGTCGGAGGAAGAACAGAAAAAGAGTTGGTTTCTGTTCTGCTCCTTCATATTTCACCAACCAATGGGTCAAACTAACTTCAAATACTGACATATAAGAAGCACAAAGAATAGGGATGGCTCTGGTAGAGCTAAAGCAGCATAAATTTAATGGGTATTTATAGTACATCATTATCTCAAAATACAGATCCACAGATTTTTTTTTTTTAGGATTTGGAACAGGTGGGATTGAAGATCCCAGCAAAATACCAATCCAGAAAGTGTTGGAAAATCTCAAAAGTGTTGCTAAACTCCTGAGGTCTCTGGGAGGAATTTATAAAACTTTCTCCTTTACCTAATTTAGGTTTCTCTTGATGTATTCTACTGTCCTATGCAGTCATTACAATTCTGCGCTCACAACGACAGTAGTTGGTGCCATCAAGGTGAGTTATGGGGCAGAAGAGGAAGCCAGGAATGCTCAAATAAACAGGGAAGAGCATTGACTCAGTAGTGATCCTGGTTATGTTTTGATCTGGAAACTCAAAATGAGGGCTAACTCTAAGACATTGTTTGTGCCAAACAAGGTCACGTCACAAAGTGACTTCGTTCTCTTCCACTGAAGCTCAGGTATATCTAGAAAGCCACGTATCAATGTATTTTTAGTTTTCCTACAAGAGAAACTTGAACCACTTCTACTGAAAGTTGTAAATCTAACCACATTTCATTAGGTACTGTCACCTGATTCTGTTCTGTATCAGGTTACTCTCAAGGTCAAGGTGGCCTGCTGCAAATCCAGTGCAAACTGATACAGACTAACCCACTTTCACTTTGGCCTGAACTGATTTTGTTGCAGCTAATAAACAGGGCATTCACAAAGAATAATGGCTAAGCTGTGGTAAGGAATGTATTGCTTTATGGTTAACTGCTTCAGCCTCTGTGTGAGAACTTGTATTCTAGCTGAATGGAGGATTTAATTTTGGTTTCCGGTCAATTTGATCAACACCAAAACATGCACATCTTAAAAACTGAACTTGGTGTCCTTACAGTCTGTTTTCTCTAATCCAGTTTAATTTAAAACCAGTGCAGCTTCCTTTGTGTTGATAAGGCCAGCATGTCAGAGCAGGGAATGTCACTGACTATCCAAGCACCTTTTTGTGGAATGGTTTAAAGAGAAGAATGGAGCTGCAAGAATTTTAGCAAAAGACAAAACTTGTGCATTTGTGGGTCAAACAATTATCAGAATCCTAGGAACTAGGTTGGGCACAGGAATAACAGTCCTCAAGGTGCTCCCTATATTCCTTGACTAAGGAATACAATTCCACCAGCATAGCAAAATCCACAAGAGGAAGATGGTACTTCTTCTACAGCTTGGTGTTGGTTTTGGTGGGTTTTTTTTTTTTGTTTAATTTTTTGATTGGTTGCTAGGTGTTTGTTTGTTTTTTGAAGCTGGCAGGATTAATCAATCTAGTAGTTTTCATTCTGTGGCCCTGGAAGTGTGCTTTTAAATTTTATATGTGCATTGAACCATTAAGATGGACCAACACTATTTTTGTTTTCTGAGCAACAATAGTCTTTGAGGCATTTTAAACAGTTTTAAAGGTGAGAAGCACTTTATGATGCTGTAGTCCCCAGCAGAAACTCATAGAAATTATGTCATTCTTCAGGGTAGCTGCTAAAACATGTGAAACCAGCACAGTGTTGGTAAAATGATCACAGTTCTATAGCTTTCCTTCTGTCTATAGGAGACAATTTTCCCAAGACTAGATGGGGGAGGGCTGAGAGGTAGAATCGTCAAACTGTGCCTGCCTTGAATTTGAGCCAGGTGCTTTCAATGCACATTTAGTTGGCAAAGTGAGGAGGTAACAATTTCAAAGCAATAATAAAAAGCATATAGATAATTTAAATTAAATATAAATTTAAATTAAATATAAATTTAAATTAAATATAAATAAAATAAAAAGCATAAGAATAATTTAAAGCATATTTTTTATGCTTGAGAACTCAAAACCTACTTTTTAAGAAATGGGATTTGAAAGGAGCTTTCCAAAGATGAAAAAGAAGTACTTATTCAGAAGGTGGCCATGCTCCGTTTTGCTTAATACCAAACAGCTGATTTTCTGTTTTCGTTCTTGGTTTTTGGTTTGTTTTTGTTTTTATTCCCAGAGATTCCCTCTCAGTGTATTACGTGCATTTAGTAAACATACTGCTTTTATTATTTTATTTCACTGTGACAATACCCATAAGACTGTTACCCCATGAATATAATTTAAATGCTGATTTAAAAGCGGCCAGCAACAGAATATAGCTATTTCCTTAGAAAATTAATTATTATCATTTATATTCTTGGAGATGAAAACTGACTTGAATAAATGCAACATCTTTGTTTCCTTTCAGAATCTATCCATTGCTTACATTGGAATGTTGATTGGTGGAGATTACGTATTCTCCATGTTAAACTTCATAGGGCTAAATATTTGGTGAGTGGAACTTGGAATAACCTTTGCTTGTTATAAAGTGGAAAATTTCTTAGTGAGATACACTTTTATATTTTGTTTCATTTGGCCCACTTAAGTGAAGCAGTTTTGAAAGTACCAACCTGAAGAAGCACTGCCTGAGAATATAAAGTTCATTACAATTAGTTGTCTTTTCCTATATTTTCATGTATTTTCATGTATTTTCAGGTATTGAATCTTACTGTGGTAGGCTCTTAACTATGGAAATATGCCTGCAGTTTTACTATGTGAGATTGAATTCACTGGGTTTTTTATGAGCAACAGTTCTGAGCTGTGAGGCTTCCAAGTAAAAGCCAAGTGGTGTGAGAAGTGAGAGCACCCACTCAATGAGCTGTGTCCATTGAATATGAGTTATAACTTGTGAGTTGTTACTTTTTGTGTTTGGATGAACAGTTACATCGGTTTGTTTGAATCTGTTTGAGAAGCTAATAATTGATCTTTGTGAGCTCAGGGCTGGTTTCTCAGGTGGCTTACGTGCTCTGAGGCACTCCTAAGTTATGCTAGCTGATATTCTTTACTTTTTGGAAGGAAGGGTATATATTTATAAAATGGCATATACAACACCAAGTATCTCTTGACACCTTTGTTCTCTTTTCTTTAGTATGGCAGGAGGACTGAGATACTCATTTTTAACTTTAAGAGGAAACAGCAAGCCTACGCAACCTGGGGATGAAGAGAATGCACTTTCTGAATCAAATAGTTAGCCAAAATGCCCACCTTGAAAGAGACTGGAGATACGAGTTTGTTTAGCATTGCTGAGAACTTAATAAGTGTATGCTGGAACATACTTGGAACGAGGAAAAAAATCTACCTCAGTTGGCAGAGATGTGCACACAATTCACTGGTTCAGAAATACCTTGCACACCATGTGGACAAGTTTAATTTTAGCTTTTTTTTTACATCACAAGCTAATTATAAAAAGGAATGCCATGAAAAAATCTGAAGTTGTATTTACCATACTTCGGTGCTATTTGTACTCTGAAAGATCTCTGAGATCTGTGTCAGTGTCTGCCATTACTCTCTGAGGCAAAGCTCCCTGTAAAGATCATGAGGCTTGATTCACCATTGCTTTACGGCATAAGCAATTTTTGATACTGATGAAGAGGTGAAAGATACCAGTGATTCAGAATGATTTCATGTATGCATTTGCTCTTGTGTAAGTGATGTAGAACATATGCGGTAAAGATGAGATGTGCTCTTAGGTTGTTTCCTGTGTAAGTGTCAACTAAAGAATTCAGGATACAGCCTATGTTCATTATACATTGTGTAGACATTCTTTTTCAGTCCTTTCTTCATCCTCAATAACATCATAATGTTCTCTGAATTGGCACTGTTGTTACAAGTGAACCCTCATAACTTTGCTGCAGGATCAAGGAGAGTAGGAAATTGAGCAAGGATTTTTTAATGTTTAAAAATATTTTTGTGTGTTTGAGCCAGTATCAAGCAGGTGATTAGGAGAGATAACAAAGGTAAATATTTTTGTTTAGTGCTGGCCCAGGGGTTAAAAAAAAAAAAGGCCCAGAATGTGGTAGTCTGAGTTATTATTGGGGACAATAATAGCACTGCTCTGTATCTTTATTTTCTTCTCTGCAAATACAATTGATAATGCTTACCGATGTCTCTGAGGATATAGCGTTAATCTTTGAAAACACACTAGAAACATTGCAGCTTTGGAAGACAGCAGCGTAATTAATCTTGTTGAAGTTCTCAATTCCCTGCAAGCATGAGCCAAGATTTTTTTTAAATAATCAAGTCAAAAGAAGATTTTGGAAGAGCTTGACATGAAGTTAGGATTGTCTAATGACTTGTTTTATAGGCATTTGAATTAAAATACAGCTAAATCTGAAATGCTTTACTTTGTGACTAACATGTGAATGACCAGATCTAAGAAACATGCAAGTAGCTCACACCAGCACCTTCAGGGAGTGGTTGGGCTGCCCACTGCTGTGTGGAGTTTAATGGAAGAGGAGCAGTGGTTGCAGATGCTAGAACTGGAGTTTAAGGGCACAGTCAAAGTGGAAACAGAAGCCTGGGCTATCCAGTTTCTTAAAGCTGGCTAAGAGATGTGACTTTAATTTTCTACTTACCGAAGAGGTGGGGAGGGAAAGGGTTGCTGCATATATTTTGGAGAGAGCTTTCATTTTTTAAGCATTTCCTTATTCTTAAAAGGCCTTGAGTATTTTTTAGTGTATTCTTTTGTAGGACTTCTTTTTTCCAGATTGTCTCTACCTCCAGAATCTTAATTATTGAACCTCAACTCTCTGCAGTGGTACAAGGCTTTGGAAGGTTTCTATTAATTACAAAAACATGGTGAGAGCTGTTGCAATACTGATGGGCACACAGTTACACCTGCTAAATAAGATGTAGTTTCCACAAAGGAGCAGCTACTGTATGCACTTGATTAATATTTTACTGTACTTTTTATAAATAAAGAGATGCAGATCACAGTTTCAACAAGTTTTTAATTTTTTTGTGTGGATGCACATGCAGAGTTAGGGTTGATTCCAATAAAGTTCTGGTTGAAACTCTGGGAATATGGGCTCAACCAGGCTCAACTATCATGTTGAATTCAGGCAATTAAGGGAATGGCTTTTCATCCAGAACCTCAGTGGTTGTCTCTTTCAGTTAATAAGGTAGTAGTTTAAAATTTATTTCTCGTAGGATACATCTGTAGGTAAACCTTTTCTACAGATTTCGTATTACCTTAATGAAATATTAAACCATTTGTAAAACTAGATTGCTTAATTGCTGTGTGAAATTTCATTTTCTTTCTTTTGGGAAAACGGTAAAAGCAGTTAGAAACATTGTCAGTCTTCAGAATACATATTTAAAAAAATTAGTAAGTGGGCTAGTTTTGAGAAATCTTCTACAGGCTGACCAATCAGGAGGACTCTGTGGATGAAGCTCTCTATAGACAGATAGGGCAAGGGCTCACAGGCCATTGTTCTCATGGGGGACTTCAACAATCCTGACATCTGTGGGAGGGAGGGTACGGCCTGGCACAAGCAAACCAGGAGGTTCCTCGATTGTGTGGAAGACAACTTCATAGAATCATAGAATAGTTAGGGCTGGAAAGGACCTTAAGATCATCAAGTTCCAACCCCCCCTGCCATGGGCAGGGACACCTCACTCTAAACCATATCACCCAAGGCCTCGTCCAACCTGGCCGTGAACACTGCCAGGGATGGAGCATTCACAACCTCCCTGGGCAACCTATTCCAGTGCCTCACCACCCTAACAGGAAAGAATTTCCTCCTTATATCCAATCTAAACTTCCCCTGTTTAAGTTTTAACCCGTTACCCCTTGTCCTACCACTACAGTCCCTAATGAAGAGTCCCTCCCCAGCATTCCTATAGGCCCCCTTCAGAAACTGGAAGGCTGCTATGAGGTCTCCACGCAGCCTTCTCTTCTCCAGGCTGAACAGCCCCAACTTTCTCAGCCTATCTTCATATGGGAGGTGCTCCAGTCCCCTGATCACCCTCATGGCCCTCCTCTGGACTTGTTCCAACTGTTCCATGTCCTTTTTATGTTGAGGACACCAGAACTGCACACAATACTCCAAGTGAGGTCTCACAAGAGCAGAGTAGAGGGGCAGGATCACCTCCTTCGACCTGCTGGTCACACTCCTTTTGATGCAGCCCAGGATACGCTTGGCTTTCTGGGCTGCAAGCACACACTGCTGGGTCGTGTTCATTTTCTCATCGACCAGCACCCCCAAGTCCTTCTCCGCAGGGCTGCTCTGAATCTCTTCTCTGCCCAACCTGTAGCTGTGTCTGGGATTGCTCCAACCCAGGTGTAGGACCTTGCACTTGGCATGCTTAAACTTCACGAGTTTGTCATCATCCCACCTCACAAGCGTGTCAATGTCCCTCTGGATGGCATTCCTTCCCTCCAGCGTATCAACCGAACCACACAGCACTTCCTTCTGCAAGTAACAGAGGAGCCGACAAGGAGAGGTGCTATGCTTGACCTTGTACTCACCAACACGGAGGGGCTGGTTGGAAATGTGATGCCCCAGGGCAGCTCTGGTTGCAGCGACCACGAGATGGTTGAATTTGAGATCCTTAGGACAGTGAGAAGGGCGTGCAGCAAGCTCACTGCCGTAGAGTTCAAGAGAGCAGACTTTGGCCTCTTCAGGAACCTGCTTAGTAAGATCCCATGGCATATAGCTGTAGAAGACAGGCGGGGCCAAGAATGCTTGCTGATATTCCAGGCTCACCAGTTACAAGCTCAGGAGTGTTGTGTCCCAACTAGAAGGAAGTGCAGCAGGAGGGCCAGGAGACTTCCTTGGATGGATAAGGAGCTGCTGAGGAAACTTTGAAGGAAAAAAGAGGCTTATAAAGGAAGAACAGGTGGCCTGGGAAGAATACAGGGATGTTGTTTGGGAAGCTAGGGACCAGGTTAGGAAAGCTAAGGCCCAGTTAGAATTGAGTCTGGCCAGGGATATCAAGGGTGACGGGAAGGGCTTCTGTCGCTAACAAAAGAAAGTTTAGGGACAACATGGGCCCTCTCCAGAAGCTCTTGGGAGAACTGGCTACACAGGGTTTGGAGAAGGCTGAGGTTCTGAATGACTTCTTTGCCTTGGTCTTCACTGGCAAATGCTCTGACCACAACACCCAAGTTTTGGAAGGCAGATGCATGGACTGTGAGAATGAAGACCTAGGGCCCACTGTAGGAGAGGATGTGGCTCAAGACCATCTTAAGAACCTGAACATACACAAGTCCGTGGGACCTGATGAAATCCATTCGTGGGTCCTGAAGGAGCTGGCAAATGAAGTTGCTAAACCACTGTCCATATTTGAAAAACCATGGCAGTCGGGGGAAGTTCCTGATGATTGGAAAAGGGGAAATATAACCCCCATTTTCAAGAAGGGGAAAATGGATGACCCAGGGTATTACAGACCAGTCAGTCTCACCTCTGTGCCTGGCAAAATCTTGGAGCAGATTCTCCTGAAAGGCATGCTAAGGCACATGAAAAACTACAAGGTGCTTGGTGACAGCCAGCATGGCTTCACTAAGGGGAAATCCTGCCTGACCAATTTGGTAGCCTTCTGTGATGGGGCTACAGAACTGATGGACAGGGGTAGAGCAATTGACATCATCTGTCAGGACTTGTGCAAAGCATTCAACACTGTCCCATACAACATCCTTGTCTCTAAATTGGAGAGACATCAATTTGATGAATGGACCACTCGGTGGATAAAGAACTGGCTGGATGGGTGCACACAAAGAGTTGTGGTCAATGGCTCAATGGCCAGCTGGAGACCAGTAACGAGTGGTGTCCCTCAGGGATCGGTGTTGGGACCGGTCTTGTTCAACATCTTCGTCGCTGACATGGACAGTGGGATCGAGTGCACCCTCAGCAAGTTTGGCAATGACACCAAGCTGTGTGGTTCGGTTGATACGCTGGAGGGAAGGAATGCCATCCAGAGGGACCTTGACATGCTTGTGAGGTGGGATGATGCCAACCTCGTGAAGTTTAACCATGCCAAGTGCAAGGTCCTACACCTGGGTCGGAGCAATTCCAGACACAGCTAGAGGCTGGGCAGAGAAGAGATTGAGAGCAGCCCTGCGGAGAAAGACTTGGGGATGCTGGTCGATGAGAAAATGAACATGAGCCAGCAGTGTGCGCTTGCAGCCCAGAAAGCCAAGCATATCCGGGGCTGCATCAAAAGGAGTGTGACCAGCAGGTAGAAGGAGGTGATCCTGCCCCTCTACTCTGCTCTTGTGAGACCTCACTTGGAGTATTGTGTGCAGTTCGGGTGTCCTAAACATAAAAAGGACATGGAACAGTTGGAACAAGTCCAGAGGAGGGCCACGAGGGTGATCAGGGGACTGGAGCACCTCCAATATGAAGATCTGCTGAGAAAGTTGGGGCTGTTCAGCCTGAAGAAGAGAAGGCTGCGTGGAGACCTCATAGCAGCCTTCCAGTTTCTGAAGGG